TTTTTTTAAAAAAATCTTAAGACCAGAGTGTTAGATGGAGAGAATGAATGTCACTGTTACCCAATGATTATTTTGATGAGAAAGTGTGATATGATTAGATAGCGTTGATATCAGAAGCCATCCTTACTGATCATAGAAGAACAGCAGTTTCTGAAAATAAGTAACATTGGGTAGTGAGATAGAATGATGAATAATGCATCCTTTTTTTTCCCTTTGGGAAAAGGGGTAGGGAGTTAAAAATGACTTTTTGAGTGGGTTATAGGAGGAGTTTCATTAGAACAAAGCAATCTTTTAATTTAGAAGCTTCTCTAAGGGGATGGATTGAATAAAAATGCAATTGTTAATGATAGAGAAAATAATGGATTCCAGAGGGCAAAATAGGAATTAAAGGCAAGGTTGGTGGAAGAGGAGGAATGGATTGTTTCAGCAAAGAATAACAGTTGTCATGCTTGTCAAAAGTAAAATTTTTACTTTTAAATCAGGAAATAAAATGTAAAAACTCACTCTTTCTCTTCAGAATCGTATACTTTAAAACACTTCAGAATCCTATACTTTAAAACACAGAAGCTGTCTCATAGTCCCATCACCAGTTCTCTTCTATCTAGTAGTACATGAGGTTAATAACTTACTAGATGTATTAACAGGGAAATGAGTAAGAACAAAAGAAATTAGGTCATTGGACTTGGAATAGAAGTTTTAGGATGGGTAAAAGAGGGATAAGAAAATTTCTACATCCTTAAAAGTCACTGATTAAATTGTCAAAGTCAAGAGGAACCTAAGGAGACATGATATAGTAAATATATTTGGTTATCAGACTATTCTGATGACCTAGTAATATGTGATTTGGGGGCCAAAAAGGGTAATAGATGCAAACTTAAGAAATCTGAATACAAAAAAAGGGATTTGGGGACCAGCAGTTAGCGTAATGGCTATGTCGCTGGACTCCCACGTAGTCAACCGCAGTTTGAGTCTTGGACCGGGTGGCTTAAACTCACACCGGGCGTGTGCGCGTGCGTGCCCAAGATCCCGAGAGGAGAATGGAGGAGAAGAGATTGCGGCATGGCCATCCCCCCCTGGGGGGTGCTTTCTCGCTTTCTGTCTCTCTGTCTGTCTCTGTCTGGCGAGTGCACACGCCCTATAGCAAAAACCTCTCAAAAAAAGGGGGGGATTTTAGTTAATAATTTACAAATACTAGCTGGTTGATTAATTGTAAAAGTATATCATGTTAATGTATGGTGTTAATAACAGGAAGAAATGGGATACTCGAGTTAAAGGAGCTCTAATGTCTTCAGTTTTTTGTAAATCAAAGACTGTTTTGAAAGTTAAACTAAGAAGTATGGATAAAATTTGTTAATTGTTTAAAATAGTTAGCAAAAGCAGTTAATTTTTCATTGAAGTAGGCAAAATTAGGATTGTTTACGTGTTTCAATGACATGTGTCCTAGAGGTTAAATCACTTCTCTCCAGATTTCAGGCCTATATCAAATAAAGTATCCATCAGTTTGAGTGGAAGAAGGTTTAATAATAACAGCATCAGACAGAATATGAGAATTTGATAAATTGCTGAATCACTCAAAAGGTGTGGCTGACTCAGCTCTGAGGATCATTTTATATGGAAAAGATCCTTAAGAATCCTTCCTATTCCTCAGTGTATGGCACTTTACAAAGTTCTTTCATGTTATTTTATCCTTACAACAATCTTGGGACTAAAACATATTTTTATCCATTATCAACAATAGAGTGCTTTTTCTAGCTTACCTGTTGCTTTAGCTAAAGATACAAGTCATAATAGCTATCTTTTCTGTAGCTAAAAATAATCTGTTGAGCTAATTATGTAATACATTTTATATAACTCTTACATAACTTTTACAAAGAATGATAGTAAGTTTATAGTCTCGAATTAATATTTATATGAAAAATGTATTGCAAAATTCTTTTTGAGAATTTATCATTTTGGTAAAAATTGTGCATAATGACATATTTTGTAGAGTTTATGTTTTTATTACAACAGACAACATTTAGATTAGATGAGAAAAATTTTTACCTAGTTGACAAATTTTTTCGAGAAGAATATACTGTAAGAAATTGTTGAATTTATCTTCATAGGCATTAGAGATCTATTAAAACTTAGACTACTCCAGTGGTTTGTAACTGTGTAAAGGTAGTAAGTACTTTTTAACTTAAAGGCCAAGGGGAGGAAGTAATGGAGGAAAAGTTCATATTAGTGGTATTAAGGACAGATGGTGACTACACCATATCTCTTAAAATACTCTTGTACCATACTGCAAACTGCTTAAAATGAAAAAGGATCATTTAGTATAATCTAGCCTAGAATTATGGTAATAAACAGAAAAGAGGAGATTGAATATAAATTAGCATTCAGACAGTAGTAATAATAGTGTCTTCTAACAACTTACATTGCACTTCTAGGGTGCATGTGCATGTGTGCCAAAAATCCTGGAAGGAAAATGGTGAAGGGATTGTGGCATGGCTGTCCTCCCTAGGTGGTGATTTCTCACTTTCCCTCTCCTTCCTTCTCTGTCTCTCCAGAGAGTATATGCATGCTGTAATGAAAAAATTTAAAAGGGGGGAGCAATAAACTGAGGCATTATACTTAACTTTTTTTCTTCTGCATGCCATACATTGCACTTGGTGGTTTTTTTGTCTGTTTGATTTTGTTGTTGTCAGCTAGACCATCAAATTTAACTGGATTTTAAGTTAACTTTTTCTACTGAAAGGTACAGTGAATTAAAGACAGTAAAACAAAGTGATGATTTGACAATACAATGATTGCATCTTAGAGTTTCTGCTATTACTAAATAATGATGGTGGTGATGTCAAATTTAGTTTGAATGTTCTGTGCATTCAACTAAAACTATCTGAAAATATGGAAGAACAGTGTGTTTTAAAAAGTGAGTAGTTAACTTTTCAAGAGTATGCAGGAAAAAATTATTGTGAATATGAGTGTATTCAAAGGTGTTAGGAATGTGTGTTTTTGCTTGAATTTGCTTCCAAACATAGATATTCATTGAATGGTTATAGAAACACCTTTTGAAGTGTAATGAGAGCATTACTGTTTTATTATGACATTAGTATAGGGTAAGTATCCCTGATCTGGAATGCTTAGGACCAGAAGTATTTTGGATTTCATAATGTTTTGGATTTTAGGATATTTGCATATGCATATTGAGATACCCTGGGGATGGGAACCAAGTCTAAACTAGGCCTTCATTGATGTTTTATATCTTATTTGTGTAATCTGAAGATAATTTTGTAAAATATTTTCATATAGCAGTATTTTAACTGAGACCTGTCACATAAGGTCAGGTGTAGAATTTTCCACTTGGATCATGTTGGTGCTCAAAAAGTGTTGGATTTCGTATTTCATACTTTTGTATTAGGGATGTTCAACCTGTAATGTGGTAAAATAGTTGGTTGAAAAAGTCCACGTTGGTGGATCCAAAAAGTCACTCAATGAATACCACACATTTAGTAAATACGACACGTGAGAACTTTTATTTTGAAATCAGATACATATTTCTGGGATTTGCTTTGGAAGTAAAATGACTGATACTATATGAAGGTTCGTTATTATATCCTTTCTGCTTTTATGTATATTGGAAGTTTTATAAAATAAGTAAAGTTTAAAAAAAGAAAAGGGGGGACATCTTAAAAATAATGTGAATACAAAGCTATAAAAGAAACTCCTCTAGAGCAAGAGTATAAAAGAGAAACATACTGTTCCACTGATGAAGTGCTGAATTGAAAGGAGTTTCGAGGAGGGAACATTTTTGTACGTCAAAAACCTAGGTTAAGAATTGTGAATCTTAAAGAACATTTCAGGCTGCTAATGACAGGTCATCGTAGTTTCTATAAAGTGAAAAGATAAAAAATTTGACTAAAAGAAGAAGATCTCTGAAACCAAAGGTAACAAACATCCTTATGAAATGGGATGGAAAAGAAGAAGGCTGGAAAGAGAAGAAATAAAATATGGATTAACGGAACAGCAATGCTAAGGGCCAGTTCCACTCAGGTATGTAATGAAGTCAACTTCATTTAGGTTTGTTCCTTTATCATGGGGAGATAGAAAAAAGAATATAATTCATTTCTTTAGTTAACTAATACTTATTAAGAATTAAGGTGATAATGTAAGAATTTAAGGAATGAAAGTATTCTCTCAAGTAATTGGTAATTGAAAAATGGGTAGAGTCCTTGAACAAATGAGAATTCTGTCTAGAATAAATTACTGAAGAGATGGTGACTTAAAGATAATAGGGCAACAGTAGACCTGACAACTAGAAAAACAGAAATAAGGAAATAATAAAACAGGGTGGCAGAAAATAGGAAAATACTGAAACAATGTCTGTGTGGTACAGTGATGGTTTCTTGTTTTTGTTTTGTTTTGTTTTGTTTTATTGTAAGAGCATTGTATTTGTAAAATTTGTGTTTCTTATAACAGAATACAAACACATTTTGCTAAGATTTTCTTTAGGTCATTTGTATGAATTAAATAATGATGTTCAGAGTGCCATGTCTGTAAGAACTTAAGGACTTACTTTGCATTTCATAAGCTATAATTATTTGCCTGATTTCGAGTATGAATTTATGAAGAAGATAGCACTTCCAGAAAATGAGGGTTTCTATTATGTTGAAGGCAGTATATTTTACTTTTGGCTTTTCACCATGGAAGTAAACTGTTCGCTTCTCTAACCTAGAAATACATTCTTTATGCTTTGTTTGCTTTTTCAGAGGAAATGGAGTATTGTATGTTTAATTTTTTAACATAATACAGGTATGTACCTTAGTTCAGACAATGTGTTGACATCAGTTGTTTTTCTCTAACTGCTACACATTAACAAACCATTTTTTAAACATTGTAAAAATTAACTTGCAGGAACCATTTGGAATGGTCAGCCATAAGCCATGCAGCCATCTTTCTTAAATTGGTTTTTGTAAACGACTTGTGTGTGTTTCGTAAAATATGCTTTATTTTAAAATTAGGGCTTCCTGTTGCAGCTGTTCCAGGAGCTCTGAGTCCTTTGGCTATTCCAAATGCTGCTGCAGCAGCAGCTGCAGCTGCTGCTGGCCGAGTGGGTATGCCTGGAGTCTCAGCTGGTGGGAATACAGTCCTGTTGGTTAGCAATTTAAATGAAGAGGTTAGTAAAATAAGTTTTTAATGTTTATTGTTTAACTCCATTTCATTTGTGAAAGTTTTTCATGTTTATTTCATTTTGCACTTGCCTTTCTTTTTATGTACACTCATTAGTCAAAAGTATTTTCTGTATGTTTCTATTTCTGAATAAAATCTTTGTACTTGTTTAGGTAATGCTTTATTTCCTTAGACAGTCATATCTTTTTGTATCTATATCTATATATGTATATTTTTTTAACCTAAGTACCTATTTTTCCTAAGAAAAATATGGTGAAGTACCGTAGTTTGGCTTTTTATTGTTTTGTTGTTGTTAAAAGCAGATATGTTCTAATTTGCAAATTTAACTGTAAAACAATTTTGCTCTGTGCCTTTTCTAATTATTTGCTTGTTCATTTCATGCTTATGTGTCATTGCATTTTTTTTAAATCTTATTTTATGTGAACTACTCTAATACATTTTTCTTTAAAGGTTCTTCCAAAGATCTTGACGAGGCACTCTTCCAGTCTTTCTTAGTAATTTTTTCTTTGCAGTTATTAGTCATTGTCTTCTAAAAATATTTTTCAACTTTCCCCACCCCCTCTTGTTAAATGAAATTGATTGCTGAGTTATTTTATTTAGTTGTACATTTTATGTCTGGTATATTTTATTTTGATTGCTATGAAAGCTGGTATGAAATGTGGGAAGCTCAGCGTATAAGTTTATGATGTCTATAATTTGAATATTTGTTTCATTTTTAATTGGCCTCTGTTAATATGAACATTAAGCTTATTTTATCATTTAATACTATTATCATTCACAGTTCTGCATGCTAAAATGTTTGAATCAGAGTGCCTTTGTTTTTATTTTAAGACTTTTGCCTGCATTTCATAACCAGCCATGCTTATGCAGTTAAAGTTCAAAGTTTAAAATTCCTATGCATGCTTTCCTTCCCTATGTTGAGATGAAATGCTGTAATTTACTCTTTGATATAGATGTACTTTACCCATATTTGTCTTGGATGACTACATTTTACTCAGTTTTTCTTGTACAGTACATAAACCAACCATTTTCTGACCAAATTCCTGCATTTCCTATGTACTGACCTATATTTTATTTTTTTTTGTTCCCCAATTCCTTATTTTTTTCTTCTGCATTGCTGTTTCCCTTCCCCATTTCATCCTTTTCCCTGTGTGTGCACCTTCCCTTTCCTTGTCTTTTCCCAAATGCCCATTCCCTCCCCTGTCTTATCCTTTATTTTCCTTGTCCTTGTCTTCATTCCCTGTCTCCATTCCCTATGTTCATGCTTCTGTGCTTGAACAAATGTTCCTCGGACCAACTTGCCCCAATTAACCGCCTTGAACCATGATCCATGACCACCTCACCATTCTGCGGGAACCACCCTTCGTTATGGATGATCTGTTCATCTCCG